TGGGGACAAGTTGCCACAACACCGTCTCCCACAGCTGGGAGTCTGCAAAGAACCTGCTCGGCAACTGGCAGCCGGTGTCAACCCCGCTGCTAAGAAAATCCTCAATTACAAAGCTTTGGGCCTTTGGGGATAGAGCCCTCTCATCTCTATCATAGGAAGAGCCTCGCAGGTCTCACCGCCATCGAGGCGAGAAGTGCAATTCGAAATATCCTCATTGCACGTCAAAGAAAAACAATGGAAAATGTCATGATATGTCACGACATACACATACAGAGGCAATTATTGGCGGGGCTGTGCTGTCAAGATGTTTGGCTGCTATGACATGAGGAGCTACATCAGCCTCTGTTGTACAAATCAAGACCACCTTCATCAGCGCCGGGCATACTGGCACTGGGGCACAGTGAGATTCATGGGCCTTGGGCTTATATCGCTTACTACCACACCGTGCTGTAAAGGTAAACCCGCGTAAGTCTGGCACCTGCATGTTTGTAGAGGAGCGCAACCCTGGCAAAAGACTCACCACTTGGGCTGAGCTCAATGGAGCATCTTGCAAGTATCTGGGCGCGGACTGCCTCAAACATGAGCGAAGGCTCACAGGCAACATCGAGAGTGCACATTACCTTCATTGGCGCAACCCCAACACAGACACATGATGATCCACGGAAGGGATCTTGTTGCTGCCTGCGGTATTCCTCCATAGCCCTCTTCGCAGTACCAGCTGCCCTCCTTGAAACGTCATTCGGCAAGCAGAAAAAGATGGCAAACAAGCCTCTGAGCCGCCTCCTAGTTCCGACCATGTTTTACAGCCAGTGGGAAGGCGACATGCCCATTTTGATGTATGCCCAGACGACTGCTCGTGTAGAATCGTGTCTGGAGACTGGCCTTTCCAAAGTACTTGATTCTTCAAGTGCAGGTCTAAGATTCGCGTGTCCCCTTCGCGTTCCTGGACGCTAATTATTGCGCAGGCAACATGTTGACCGAGTTCAGCGCCTGTTCTGGGCCATTGTTGCTGATGACCTTGACGTAACAACATGGCCGCAAGCTACGTAGCCATGTTTACGTTTCCTGGACCTCATGATACAATGAAATGCAATATGATGCTTGTTTGCGGAGTGCTGCTGGCTGCACTCATAGATCCGCTTCGCCGAGCAGTGCAAAGGCCATAGGGCTCCGACACCAGTCTGGTTGTAACCTCCACAATGTGTGCAGATGGGCAAAGACGGACAGCACACCGGCTTATGTGCGCTTTCGACACTGCCTTCCGGCCACGGCACCAGATCATCTGGACACTCGCATCCCAAAAGAGGATCCTTTTCAAGACTGTAGCAGGGTAATGGCAGCTAGAGTGAAGTACTTCAGTTTGGTGTATGCCCCAGGCATAGATCAGCGGCTGCGTGGGGTCAGTGTTGTTCCTGAGAGACACGCAAAGCGAACGGCAGCACAAGATGCTAGTTTCAAGAAGTTGCCGGCTTGACATAGCTGAGCAATTGCCAACCAAGCATCAGAGGACATTTTCCCACCGTCGCGGAGCCAACCTCGCAGGATTAACTCTTCAGGCTCAACTGCAGGCTGACAGCATTCAGGCCTTCGGCACCACAGGCCACTTTGGTGCATCCCAATAAAACATACGCTGACTGAGCCCCGGGCAAAGACGCTGCGGCAGCTCAACTGGCATTCTCCACCAGGCTTGACAGTTTGGTAGCCGTCGTCTTGGTGAGCAAGACGGATTCAAGACACTGAGTTCGCATGCAACATGTGGCAGTGTGGCGCAGCTGCTCAAAAAGCTGAGCACGAGGGCTGCCACCAGGAACATCTAGCAAGGGTCCGTCCTGCGTCGTCAAGGCCACCACACAAAGTTGCCCACCCTCGTCTCTAATCTGGGCGTCTAAATGGATCTTTCTGGGAAATGCATTCCTCTAGGAAAGTCGTGTTAATGCAAAATATGAAAACGTCGCTTAGGCTGTATCCATCGAGTAGTGGTCCAATCAACATCGATGCATAAACTCCCGCAACTACACTTTGCATCAACCCGAGTCCGTGCAGAGATTGATGCTGTACCTGCGCGGAGTCGACGTGGACGTCACCATGTTGGCAGCTTGTCGATGCAAAATATGCAAATTCAGTTGCTCAGCTATCCAGTTTGCTCCCTCAAGACATTGCAAAGTGACAAGCCTGCATGAGTCCAGGCTGGCTGGGCCAGCCTAAGCTGCCAAGCAGTTGTGAAGGACCATTTCAGGTCAGAGGATCTCAGATGCCTGGGACCCTGGCACAGGCTTGCAGTGGCAAGCAGCCTGTCAGGCGAGCCACCGTGGCGCAGTCTGCTTCGAAGATGCACGTGGCCTCAGGAAACTACTGCACTATGACATACTATGACCCTGCTGCAGGGTTGCCTAGATGCAAGGGAGAGCCGTCTGAAACCCCTTCCCTACTGACAGGGCACCGCCTTGGCAAAACACGCTACTCGCTACTCTGGAGCAGAAGTGCCTCTGGCCGGCCCGCAAATTTCTCTGCACAGGTGACGCTTCCATTCTGGATGTCCTTTCACTTCTTTGCGCACATTTGCAACGATATGCACGAGTGTATCGTGGAACTGCCATGATCATGAAAAAGGCTACGATGCCTCGTTCATCTCGTAGCCTGCAGGAAGCACTTCTGGCAGGTCGCACTCAGGGATCTTGCATATGGGTGGCGAGAAGGTAGGCTCCTTCAGATATGAAACATGTGGAAGGAAACTTCTCGACGTTTGTAACCAACACGTGCAGAAAGCCAGAAATCTCCCCGTCTCCTGTTCTGGATCCGTGTTCCCAACAGGACACCTTATTTGGCGAGTTCACTGACACCAAGAGCACTTCAGGCAACCATCAAGCAGCTGAACAAAGCTGCTGCAAGCCTCCGCACCAAAAACTCTCCATAATTCTGCCCAATCATGTCTGTCCGTCCACACAGCCAGGGGAGGATTCTGGTCCACCTACTTCTTTTGCTGCTAGCTCGTTGCATATAGCCAGGGCGCGTTGCCCACACGGGCGTGCCCATCGACGGGGAACGGCAGCGGATCTGGCCTGAAATGTCTCTACACAAACGTGTGTCCTTGAAATGAAGTGACATACAATGCACATGAAAGCATGTGAAGGCACAAAGCATTTGTTGACATTAAGCTGGGGTGGAACAGTCAAAGACCTTCGTGTACAAAAACTGGGCCCACGAAGTCCTTTCTCTCCCTTGCAGCTGTTAAGGCCGCGACATGCTTCGCCACCCATGAGCCCTGCACAGCCTGCTGCGGATTTCTCAGAATGAATGCAATGCGACTAACACTATCCAGCCAACAACATGAACATGCGCCCGACGTGCAGGGATTCTTGTCGCAAAGTTGCCTTTTCTCCCTGCTACCTAGAATGACAATTCAGGACGCACAAACTAAGTAATAACTAACCCGTAGTTATCACAAGATGTACCGAGACGGGGTAGCGCACTTTTTCCAACCATGTCAACTTCAGTGGCTGGATTCCCCGTCAAAATGTTTGTTGCACCAAGGTGCAACCTGCGGTGTCCACATGTTGATTACATCGTCTCGTATTACGGAGACGGATATGAAATTGTAAATTCCCGTCGCTGGTGTACGATTTCCCGTCGTAGTTTAGGACACCAGAGGAGTCTACACATTAAAACAACTGTGAACGTATTCTAGGCCGCGGATATTTTCGAAGCCTAGACAAGAGGCAACTTGAATGTCGCCAATAACTTTGAGGCACCGCTCGGTGATGGCCTCCTGGGGCAACTGTATGTGGGACCATAACAGTCCATGTGGGAGATCCTCGAACCTACTGATTGGGTCCGACAAATTGGCCTTTGTCGGAACGCGCTCAATGCGGTGAGCGATGCCCCTCCTGTTGTGCCACGTCCTGTGGGCAACTAATCAAACAATTCAGGGGTTGGTGTTTTCCTACTCCTTTAATAAGAGCATGACGAGCTGCTTCGTTGTCGCAGCACTGGATGTAGAAGTTGCCTAAGATGGGCTCGCAGACCAACGGTGCGATGATGGAACCCACACTTCCAAGAGGTAGATGAATGCAGTGTTGGAGCTGAATTGTTTCAGGATCTGTTGCGGTAGTCTACCTTGGAAGTACCATGCTCGATCCGACGCACCGGGCGAGAAGATCACTGCACCCCATCCGTCTTCGACTTCGGTGAAGTCGTGAGGTTGCCATCCTTCCGGGATGCTTTCCCCAGGCCAAAGCTTGAGGTCCCCTGCCAGATAATAGGCGTCGGTGTAGATGATGGTGAAATGTCGGTGTTGGATCTGTAGAGGCAATCTCATGGGTTTGCAGTGTTGTATGATGCTGAGCAGTGCATATAGAGCTGACCTGGTGGGCTTGTCCAGGTGTGCTATGTTGCTGTGTACTCTGGAGTAGATGGCTTTGAACGGTGCCCGGCCGACCTTGCCGAATAGTCGGCCCGTGAGGAAATTGCATTTGCCAGCCATACGTCGCGCCTGGTCTGGTTCGAGCCTGTTTTGTTGTACGCATGTCTGTATCTCCTGACACATTCGTTGCACTCTCTGTGGGCACGGTGTTAAGGTGATGTGATGTGGTTCTGTGCTTATGATGACTCCCTGTATTTTGTGGGATGATGCTGGTGGCTGTCGTTTGCTCGTCTTCATGTTGTATCCGAGCGCCCCATTGAAGTCTTCAAACGCCTGGAAGCCGGAGTCTTGAATCTCCGTGCTGCCGTAGTCGTCGACGTAGTGCGTAGTAGGGCAGAGGAGGATGACCCGTGAGACTGAAACCGTGGCGTCACCAAATCTGTTGTATCCCCACACGCTGGCTGAGGACCCGAACAAGAGTACGTTCTGGCTCCACAAAGTGGGCCCCTCTGAGCCCCTCTGGTGTGTGTAGTAGGACATATGCTTGTTGTGGTTGATCAAGTGGGAGCTGTCTATACGTATCGTGGTCATGTCCCCAAATCTGTAGTGGTTGCGTTGGGGCCTGTCGGTGTGTGTGTGGATGGCCAATGATGCGAAATGGTCCGGGGTGCGATGGTATGGCTGGTCGCGCATTATGCACGTGGAGTTATGCCCGCTACGGCGCCAATCTTCGCCTCGTCGTCTGACCCGACCTGTTGTATGCTGAATGCGATTGCTATTGCAGGTGCGGAGTGTGGGAGTGGTGTAAGGCGAAGCTCTGGATATTTGCTGGGAGAGACCGCGTGGTGTCTCCAACGCGATGGTTGTGTGAAGGGTCCATTCATCCTGCCCATCTTGACTTCTTGTACTATCTCATCAAGCATCAGCATGTAGCGGTCGTCGACCCTGGCTTGTTGTAGCTTCTGTTGTGTGTACTTCTCGTTGCGCTCAGCGAACTCGGTCTGGGTCTTGGGATTGAGGTACTTCTGGTCGGTCCAGATGTACCACTTGGTTCCTGGTTGCAATTGGCCCGTGAGGCGGAACCCTGAGGAGAGTTCCTCATGCGTGATGTCTGCCTGTGGGTAATTGATTTGCCGTAGCAGGAAGGTGAAGACAGGCACCTGTGTCACATGTTTGGCTGTAATGTGTGTGTGTTGTACATGGGGCGGCAAGGTGTCCAACCATGCGGCGGTGGCTGCAGACGACCTTGGACAAAGGGATGGAGCGCGGGGCAACTGTGCTCCCATCCACAGAGATTTGGCGTGGCCTCTCATGGTCTGAAATCAAGGCTCAACATGAGAAGGAGTTCAATCCGGCCGGCAAGACTGCTCGAAAGCGTGACGCCCCCACTTCCACAGAGATGCTTCTCAGCCTCAAGTGTGATGTTGCTTTCAGGTGTAGCAGTATGCTGTTTTGGGGATTTTTTGGTTGAGCTCAAGTTTTGCCTTATGGGAAGTTAAATGCACGCAGGCCGAGTTCGAGTGGCCAGGAATTGCAGAGCGATATCACCGTTGCAGACATCACTGGCATGGGACGCAGGCAGCCACGTGGTGTCTCCGCCTATGAGTTCTATGTGAAGAGTGACGGCATCGCCGCAATGCCTATGTCCGTGGGATTGCGGACACAGAGCTTCCATCCGTGCATTCTCGGCTTCTTCAAGACAGGGGCTGAGGCGGCCTCTTTGATGGAAACAGATAATCCCAATGTCATCCCCTACCAGGTGGAGGCTACGACGATTGTGCTTCTAGATCCCAAGTCGGGAACTAAGCTGCCTGAGTGCACGCAGCCATTCCAGTCCACCCTTATTGAGTTTGGGAAGCTGCTTGAGAAGATGACGCTTGCATCTTTGCCAACACCAAGCCTGCACCTCCACAAGGTTGAGAGCAAGTTGGAAGGTGGGAGTGTGACATGGGATGTAAAAGCGGTGAAAAGGCATGCTTGAAAGCCACCATTGAAGAGCCAAAAGATGACTCAAACCAGTTCCCACCAGCAGAGCTGAGCCGATTCTCCGTGTACATTGATTTGGCCAAGTTGAAGCACACCACTTGCCACTTCAAGCTTGAGTACGACCCTGAAGCCAACAAGTTCAAAGGCATGCTTCCATGGGCGTGCTTGAAACAGCCAGCAACATTGAAGAAAGATGTTGTGAGCAAGCTTTGACGCATTGGCCAAGCCGTGCAATCCTGCTCTCCGCCACGCACAAGCATGCAATTTTGTGACTATCATTCCTCGTCCAAACCAGCAGCCTTGCAGACCTGCAAGTTTTGAAGCTGTTGGACAGGACAAGACGCGCATCAAGAGCATCAAGAGCATCAAGAGGAAACGCAGTGTCTCACAGTCCGAGAAAAAACAGCATTGCAAGACAGTTCTGAGACGCCGAAGTGCAACCCCAAATACCAAGCCCCAAACCTTAAGCCCTAATGGCCCAGGTCCCTGGCAGGGCTGGGTCAGAAGTCTCAGAAGCTGAGGCTGAGGCGCTGTCCGCTTGACTTGGGTCACAATCTAGGCGGCCTTCAGTGCTTTATGGCTGTCAAGAATGAAATGCAGTTAGAAAGCATTCAATAATACGCCACCCTTCGGAAGCACAGCAGTTGCTAAGGAAAAACATGCACTGAGGTCAGCTCTGACAACACTGTGTATAAGGGTGTATTACCGAACAGTCGATCATTGTAAGTAATATTGTAGTAGAGAGTCGTAACAGGACATTAGTAGCAGTAGTAGACCAATCACAGCAGCTTTTCTAGTAGTCACTGTAACCCCAGCGCCCACAACTTGACGGGTTCTTTCGGGGTGAGCCAGTCCTCGCTGCTCATCATCTGCAACATGGGGTCAGACACTCAGCGGAGGGTCAGACACTCAGCGGAGGGGGGGGAAATGCACGCAAGAAACGTGAAACAAACAAACGCAGTGAAGCAGCTGATGGATGCCATGGATGCCAGTGGCATTTTCTTTGGCAGCGATGATGCGAGCCTGACATGGCTTGAGATCCCATTGGAAGCAAGTTCGCCAAGTGGACCCAGGCAGTCAGACATTGGCCTTTCAAACAAGGAGGCTAGAGGACCGATACCCGGAATCCGCGATCGAGACGACGTTCCACATTTACTGCCGTTTGACAGCAGAACGGAATGATGGCTCAATGCCCGATGCTTTGGCCCAGCACTTCATGGAGAGGTGGAATACGCGGGCAAGCAAAGAACTGGCGGCGGACTCAGCCACGTGATCCAAGGGCGCGATTCGCCGTGCAAGTGAAACGCGAAACTTACAATCCCAAAGAAACACCTGAAACCCCCAAATCCAAGCAGGGTCAGGGAGTTCAGGGTTGAGGCTGAAGGCCCCAAGCACACTCCAAGCCAACTCTTACATCATGTTAAAGGCCCTGAGGTCCCTAGGGCATCATCGTCAACTTCACGGAGGCGCCTCTCTACAAGTATTCACAAGACCTGCGCCTGTCCCACAGACCTAAAGCTTACTAGTAGACTGCCGCTAGCTGTGCGTCATTGATGCATGCACCTGGACTGCAAGGTTTCCGAGCACATGGTGACCAGATTGAAGTGAAGTACTTAATTAGCTTTCCGAGGAGATTTGTGGCAGAGACACAGAGGCTAGAAACTGCACCAAAGCCTGCCTGAAATGGTTTCCAGGGACGTGGTGCTTCTGAAGGCGCAGGCTTAGAGCAGCAAGAAAAGGTTTAGGCAATCCCTTGGCCAGCGCTCATCCACTTTTTCCACCATGAGGTTCAGGCTGCTTAGTCCATTTTGCAAAAATCAGAAGTTTCCCTCTGGAATTCTTTCACAATCCAAGCTCGGATATGACGCCAGTTCGGCTGAGCCCCTGCAATTTTGCTTTCAACTCCATCCAAGAAGTTGAGCACGCTCTCTGGTAAGTCTGGGCGTCTAAGATGTTGATCGGCTCGTTTGCTCTGCTGAGGCCATCCCACGAAGGAAGCGCGGTAATGATCCACCGAGGTGCAAAGGGATTTGAGCACCGCAAGGATGTTAGGCAGTGCATTGAATGCTCAAAGAGAACACGCTGAGACTTTCTCACTTTGCCATTGCTGTAACCTTGAATGAGGCATTCTCGGAGGCACTCTAAGTCCAAGGCTAAGAAATTGTCAACAGCATCGAGGCTTCTTTGAAAGTGAAGTTTCGCCCGAACTTCCCAGATCCAGTACTGGCAGTTCCGATCCATGGCCCACAAGATTTGCTGTCCTCCTGGCTAGGCTCCTGAAGATAGTTTACCGTGCTCCCAAAATTTGAGATTTGCAGTCATGAGTAGTCAGATCAAGCTTCGCAAGATATGCCTTGAGTGTTGTGTTGGGCACGCATGTTCAAAACATGAGGCTGCAAACTAAACAATTCAAGGATGCAAAGAACTCAGGTTCCGACTTGCACTGCTGATTGACCCAGCCTTGCAGGCGCATCAAATATTTTGAAAGGTGCCCGCCAGCAACCTATCAAAGGGCTAAGGAGTCCTAGGAATCTGCCTAGAGGCTCGGGAATTTGCTAGGAATCCTATGAAAAAACTATAGGATTCCTAGCAAATTCTCGAGGGCCTACGGGAATTTGCTAAGGAGCCCTAGGAATCTGCCTAGAGGCTGGGGGAATTTGCTAGGAATCCTATGGGAAAACATAAAGCGCACCCGCATGCGCTTTGTGTTTTCCTATAAAATTCCTAGCAAATCGAGGGCCTAGGGAATTTGCTCAGGAGTCCTAGGAATCTGCCTAGAGGCTCAGGAATTTGCTAGGAATCCTACGAGAAAACACAAAGCGCACCCGGGTGCGCTTTGTGTTTTTCTATAGGATTCCCGAGGGCCTACGGGAATTTGCTAAGGAGCCCCAGAATCCTAGGAATCTGCCTAGAGGCTCGGGAATTTGCTAGGAATCCTTGGGAAAACAGAAAGCGCACCCGGGCGCGCGTTGTGTTTTCCTAAAGCATTCCTAGCAAATTCCCGAGGGCCTAAGCAAATTCCTAGGACTTCTAGCATATTTGCTGGCTTGAGGGCGTATGGTTTTGGGCATCCTGGTCGCAGTATCTTACAGCGAAGTAGTATAGTTCAGACTTAGGTTTGAAGCTTCAGGGCGCACGCAATTGAGGGAATCAGGCGCATGACTTGGCTTAGGTGTAGGGTGCAGGGCTTAAAGGTTAAGGTGTTTAGAAGCTAGAAGTCATCATGGTATCTTTGCTGAGCACTGTCGAGGTGTGCGAATGCTGTTGAGCAACAAGGCAGCGCCGTTTCTCCTTGAATCACCCAAACTTCATGCACACAATGACTTCATGGTCAGGCCGAGAGCAGAGCTGGGCTGCAACCAGGTAGGCTGCGCACGTTTGCCACTCTGCCTTGCAGGTTGCAATCAGTCAAAATATAATAAAATCAGCCGGTGAGCATCTTCACTAAAGACGCACATCTTCACTAAAGACGCAATGGCAAGTTATTAGTGCTCATGGTGCATACTGCAATGGTCTATTGAGTCCAATTTCTATATCCTGGTTGCCAGGAAGCATCCGCCCAAGTATTCCAACAACATTGCTAATACTAAGAGCAGCACTGTGACATAGCAACATGTACATTCTGCCTGCTGATTCTTTAGGGTAGCTGCAGATTGCACCGTGTCACTTAAGCATGCAAATGTACTGCAAGCCTGCTATGTTGTGGCTCAAAATTACTCAGCCAGAAAAGGCCCGCATCAATCGACCCTGAAGAACAAGCCCGACCTAAGCCCCTAGACCCCTCAATCCTAAAGCCTCAAGCCCTACACCCTAAACCCCTAAACTCTAAATCCTAAACCCCTAAACCCTAAACCCCACAAGCTTAGAGGACTGGCACCAACAAGATCTCCTACGTAGTCCATCAAACACTAGACTAGCAGACTTTCAGACCTGCAGACTTGCAGACCTGCAGACTTGCAAGCACTAGTCACTAGCCATGAAAGCACAGGCACCGTGTCCGCCACCACCCCCTCCGAGGCCCCCACCGGTGCCACAGCCAGGAGCAGCTCCGGAAGCATCTCCCGCCAAGAACAGCCCTGGAAGCTCGCAGGACAAGCGCAATGTCGCCTTCAAAGATCGAGTGCAGAGTTTGGAGGCCGTGGTTCAGAGCTCCTATCAGACTGTGGACGCTACACTGACCGAGCTTAGCAACACGATCAAAACTGGGCATGAGAAGACGGAACAGAAATTCCAAAGTGATGTTGCGGCGGTCGAGGCGACGCTCGAACTGAAGCACACAGAGCGCGAGGATGAGCTGACCGCTGCTTATCATAGAGAGCTGGCGCAGAAGCTGCTAGAGAAAGACAAGCAGATCGCATCCCAGGTGGCAATCATTGCAGAGAAGGACACAGCCCTGAAGTCCTTTAAGACTGCGAATGATGATTTTGCCAAAGCCGACAAAAGATCTGCAGAAGATCAAAGAGCTTGAGGAAACAGCAAAGGAGCTTCAGCGCCAGAACCGAGTGGCAAAGCAGAAGCTCGAGGCGCATCAGCACGCATGACCATGAAAGACCCAAGCCCCCAAGCCCACCCCCCTGCCCCCCCCTGTTTCCGCGCTTGCAGGCAGCCCAAAAAGATCTGCAAACAAAGGATGTCACCATCACAAGGCTAGAGGCCAGATGCAAAATCAAGCCTATTTGTTGAATTCTTGCGTGGTCTGGGCATACGGTGGCAGGGCGAGCTTCAGGGCAAGCGATCACAGTCGTCCTGCATGTCGATGACCAAGTCGCAAATCTCAACCACGACCTGTCTGCGAAACTCTGCCACAGGGTGAAAAAAGTGGGCATGTTGTACTGCCCATTCCAGCTTTGGGTCGAGTGATTTAGGTGTATAGGACGTATCCAAGGAAAGTGTCCATTGCAAGTGTTCCTGCCAAGAGAACTGTGGCATGTACTGGTTGCAGTTCGACTTCGGCGGGGGGCCGAAGGTCCTGTGTGTCGCCAACCACAATTGTGTTGCTCTCTGTATCGGTGATGTGCTAAGGCAGGCCTCTGGTGTGGGGATGGTGTCCATGATGATCAAGAGAAAGAGGCCAAACGGCTGGGGGGATATGCCATGTGTTGCCCAGTGCTTTGTTGCGACGGTGCTGTGTCATGTTCGCGGTGTGATCTCCACTGAAGCCCATCATTTGTTCTCTCATCCGAGCGGGTGCTAGGTGGGCTTGTCCACGTTGGTCGGATACGGCGCGAAACGCTGGTTGTCCGATTGCCACCTGCTGATCGTGTCTGGTTTCTCGTTGCAATGTTGTGGAGCTGGTCTGCCAAACTGGTCCGGGGCTGGTGTAGTGAGGCAATGGAACAAACCGGACTTCTGCACTATGGCCGGAGCCGTGAACTGGGTGGTGTCCAGCTGCGGTTGCAACGACTGTGCGATTGGGTTGTGGAGGCGTTGCCACTGGGCGTCGGTCCGTAGCCAACGCAAGGACCACGGCGTGTGTGTCGTCAGTTGTGTCTTGACCTTCTTCCAGTCCACTGGCTTCCGATGTATAATGCCTCCGTCCTCCGCGTCCACGATGATTGGTTCGATCCCCAATTGTTGTGACAAGCTGGTAACGTCCTGCTGGATAGATGTGTGTGGAACATCACCACCCTCTTTGTGAGGGGGGGGTGTCACCCCCTCCCCCCCGCTTATAAGGCTGCATCGGTTTCAAGTTCAACGCTGAAACGGATTAAGACCTAGGGGGGGTGAATGTCCAGTGAAATTTCAGATGGTGGTCAGAGGGGGGAGGTAGGTAGGTGCAGGCACTGCGCAACCGAAAAACTTGGCGATTGCACACAAGCAATTTGTTTCTTTTTCCATAATTACCTATATGCCAGGTCTGAAAGCTGAGCGGTGGTAAGATTCATAGTAATCTAATAAAATCCAAATAAACCAGGTCCGGAAAGCTCAGTGCGGGCGCTTCTTTTAGGGTTTGGGTTTAGATTCTAATAGAAATCTAAAAACCTACCAGTAACCCAAGTCTGCATGCTGATTGTTGGCCTCTCTTTGGGGGCATTTGGTAAGATTCTAATAGAGACCCAGTAAATTCACAATAAATATGAACGAGACCTGACAGCTGATTGTCAGCCTCTCTTGAAAGTAGAACACTAACAAAGTGCTGGTCACAACCCTTTCCCCTGACTCGCCTGTGTGCCCTGTTGCCTCTCCTCCACATGGGGTACACAAGCCAGCCAGAGGAAAGGGTTGTGACCAGCACTGCGTTAAGGTTCTACTCCCCAACAGAGGCCCGCGCTGAGTTTTCCGGACCTGGTTTCTTTGGATTTTACGAGATTACTATCAAATCTTACAAAACATCCTAAAAGAAATGCCAACAATCAGCTGCCAGACCCGGTTTATTGGTATTGTTGGATTTCTATTCTTAATTCGAACCCAAACCCTACAAGAGAGGCCAACAATAACCATGCAGACCTGGTTTGTTTTTATTCTTATATCTTTATTACAAAGTTCAAAGCTGCCAGACCTGGTTTATCTGTTCTTTATTACGTTTCTATTCAAATCTTACCAAGAATCCTAAAAGCTGCCTAAAAGAGATGCCAACAATTAGCACGCAGACCTGGTTTATTTGTAACTTATTAATCTTACGTTAGAATCTTACGAGAAATCCTTAGAGAAGCCGGCAATCAGCTGCCAGACCTGGTTTATTTGTAGGCAAGCACGCTGAAACGGTTTCATGGTCAAGCGCTGACAACTTTCGAGCCAAATAACTGAAATTTCAGGATAACCCCCTCTCCCTCCAGGCATTAATCGCGACCTCCAAAGAAGTGAGCCCTGAAATATTTCAGAGCCTCACCCCCCCACCTCCCGCCCATTTCAAAGCACAAGGGGGCGGTGATTGTGGAACGACATTCTCGATGAGGATGCGGATGGGCAATTGCTGTAGCACCTGTTTGATCTGCTGTATGATGTCCACGAATCGTTGGAAGAGATGTCCCGTGGCGCCTGGTGCGCCGGCGGGGTTGGATCTGATGCTGGAAAAATCGGGACAAGGTGGTCCCCCTGTGATCAAGAGCCTTATTGGTACGTCGGGGTCGAGGTTGTCCAACAGCGTATCCACCAGGTTCTCGATGTCGAAGTTGTCGACGTCACCCGTGCGTATGGGGGCGAAGTGTGCGTCCAGCACGGATATGCACTCCTGATCTGTCTCCCAACTGATGATGAGCACTGGTTGAATGCCCAACGACTGCAAGGCAAGGCTGGCTGCTCCTATGCCATCGAAGAAGCTGAAGCGCACGATGGAAAGGTTGCGTGTGAAGTTGCTGGCAAGGTCTGTGACGCGGTGTGTCCCGTGACCCCCTCGCCTGGGCGGAAAGGTCGCGCGGGGATCAAGTTCGGTTCTCCGTCATTGCGGAGGAGATCGTGCAAGACCTCACGACCGTCAATGACGCCCTCCTGCAGTCCCCGAAGAACGAGCACGAACAACAACGATGGCGTAATCCCAAAGGATATCCCGGCAAGGGCAAGGGCAAAGGAGGCGGCAAGACATGGCAATGGCAACAACAACCATGGACGGCGACCTGGCAGTCACCCGCATTCCCGCCACAGCCCCCCATCGCAATGGTACCTATGCCGAGCATGCCAATCATGGCAGGTCAGCAGTGGCCACAACAACAGCAGACACAGTGGAATACACAACACTAGGCTCCGCCGCCGCAACAGTACAACAACACACAGCCATGCAAAGGCAAGGCGCAAAGATGGAAAAGGCCACAAGGGCAAAGGCAAGGGCAAAGCCCAGCATTAGGGACAGCGCGGCCCAGGGAAAGACCCTGGAGCCGACCACGCGCAGCAACAACAATGAGGATCCACGCCCACTTAACTGCTTCGATGCCATCCTGCATCATTGATGCGCCACGTACGTCCCAATCTGGTGGCTCCTTGGTCACGAGCTGTTGTTTGTTGTCCACGATGAGGCGCTTGTCGAGGTCGTCCTTCTTCCGATTGGAGTTGACCGTCCCCAACGATGTGAAGACAGGCGGCGACATGATCTCGCCCAGCGTCACTGCGGTGTAATGTTTAGATGTGTGGTGTTCATGACACATGCGAGCCAACACTTTGTCTGCACCAAGGAGGATCTTCTCGGGGAAGCTGCGCTTTTCTCCATCGAGTGTAAAATTGTTGTAATCCTTGATGAGCTGTGTGTACACGCCTGGCGGGAGAGTCTTGGGGACGGTGTCCTTGTCTGCGGGGGTAGAGGTTGCAGTAGGAGCCGGGGTCGTAGACGTACCAGATGTAGTCGTCGCAGATAGTCGTTTCTGGTATTGGGCCCGAATCTCAGCGTAGAGGACTTTCCATTGCGCTGTGACTGTGTTGACGTCCTCGCCGCTGAGGTCGTAGTCGTTGCCCTTGTAGGTGATCTTCCCTTTTCGAGCTTCTTGACCAAGTCGGTAACCTGTGTCGTCCTGGAAGTAGACGGAGATCGCACTAGAGGCGGTTATCTTGATGGCGCGCAAGTACTTCAACACGGGGTCGGTGGCCAGGTCGATCCCTGCCTCCGTAGCTGCTGCGGTGAGGCCGGTATCCGCTGCCACCATGTTGGGCTGCTTGCTGTCTACAGAGGATCCTAAGCGTTCTACAGAGCGGTGTGACTTTCCATAAAAACTACGGATACTTATGGTTCTTGTGGTGGGCAAAGCAGCCTGATCGAATAGCCGGGCACACCTTTTACTACGCGCAGATCGTTCCGGCTCTCTCAAGACCCCCTCGCCTAGGCGGTAAGGTCTGTTGTAGCAGCCTCGTTTGGGCCCTGAACTAGGGAACTAGTCGAAGGCTCCGGCCGAAAAGTTCCAGATGTTGTCCTCGTCGCTGTTGGCATCGGTGATGGCCTGGTTCTCCTGCACGCGGAAACATTTCTGGCACTGGTTGCCCTCCAGGATGGACCAGAACTTGGTGTGTGGCGCCGACCCGTGTGTCCAGCCGCATAAGATGCGCCAATGGATGTTCTCGGTGGAGAATTCGGGGGCGCCAGATACGCGGACCGTGTTGGTGGAAGTGTTCTTCACCCAAAACTTGCTGGTGATGGTGTCCAGGTACTTCTTGACCATCGTGCACACTGTCCGTTGCGTCGGTGTCCGGTTGATGGATACCCTCGCCGAAGAGCCTGCAGCACAAGAGAGAGGTGCTTCTTGCACGTATTTACGCACTGCATCGCTGCCCCATCGACCGATGAGTTGGACTGTTTCGAGGGGGTAGCCGAGCCGAGTGAGGAACTGAGATCCAGATACTCTGCAGACATGTTCGTTGAAGCGTTGAAGAAGTTGTCCTTGAGGTCCAGGTCGGGAGCTCGGCCCCCGTGGTTGCAATCGCCTTCCTGAACACTTCGATGGCCTCCTGGTGACTGATGGGCCCTCCTTGTCGTCCATAAAAACAGGAACTCGTCGCTCCTGGGAGTCCCTGGGATGTGGTTGCGCCGGATGAAGGCCTCCAAGGAATGATAAGGGCACAGGGCTGCCAAGTTGTCCGAGCAAGTATACGGATGTGACCTGGAAATGCACATGTCGGTCTTGTGGCACGGTAGTGTGAAGAACGCCATCTTGCCGAAAGCTGTTGTCTCGAACCACACGTTGGAAAACCTGGAGGCTGCCACTTCGATGCCCCGCAACATCCACCAGCAGCAAATGATGGTCACGAGGACACAGTCGTAGATGCAATCCGCCCAGTGTTCTGTGGTAGAGGTGCCGGATGCATCGTGCTATCTGTGGTGGCTGCAAGGTCCTCGACGATGAATGCTTCCTTGAGCGTGGAAGGTCCCAAGCCTCTCTCGATGCTGCGGATGGACAACTTGATCTGTTGCTCGATATCGGCGCCCAAGTGTTGCCCTGCGCGCGAGACATGTTGTTGTCGAGCCACGCTGAAGACTTGGGCCGGTGAGCGGTATCTGCCGTTTTTGAGGCTGGAGGCGATGGCCTGGACCAATTCGAGGGTGATCGGTAGAGGCGCCAGCTTCCAAGAGGCTGCCAACTTGGTTCATAGTTGCCACCTGGAATCTCGTGTATTCCTCGCGTTATTGGCGTACTGGTCACGCACGAGGTTCTGAATAGCCTCTTGTTGCATCCCAGGTGTTGCTGCTGCCATGGCGCCGATGATGGACCCCCTCGTCAATGATGCCACTGTAGGTAGCTCTCGTCGTCCACGGGCGGCCGTTCATCTGGTCGGTGTTGCGGACGCCTTGATCCACAAATCGAGGAGCCAGGTGCGCGAGGTCAGCAGCCCTGAGTTGTGCCAAGACGTCCCTGAAGGTGGTCATGGCCGGATGATGGTGTGGATCCTATCGGGGTTATACCGAAGTTACTCTGAGGCTCTAACAGCCGTTGCATGCCATAACAGCATGTTGTACCCTGCGCGTGCCATAACAGCCCTGTTCTATGCTCGCGCAAGCTGGTGTCAGGCAATTTTGCTGCTTGGGTGTTCCAAAGGCGCTTTGATGGACACTGATGTCCAAAGTTGACCCGGCTCGTTGCCTGGGCAGCAAGAAATGTAGGGCAGCCTGTGGCCCTTGCCTGCACATGTGATGGGTTTACTGATGTGCTCCAGGGACCCTCGCCTAGGCGGCAATCCCAAAGCGGAGCCCCATACATGCTGTACCGATGCGATGTGTCTACAAGGGACCTTCGCCTAGGCAGTAATCCCTATCATGTTGGTAGACTCAGGTCTCCATCGCCGATGACTCCGCTTGACTGCGCCGCGAAGCCGGCCTTCAGCGTAGTCCTCGACGAGGCGGAGGCGGAGGTACGTGAGGCCCAGGAATCTGCAGAAGTCCTTCTGCGTCATGGTCTGAGTCTGGCCGGCCTCGTAGGTGTAAGTGGTCATGTCATAGAATGGTGGGTCATTGAGGTACTCGATGAGGCCATAGTTGCGCGCCGTGTTGAGCTGGTTGCATGAACTCCTCACGGAAGAACTTGTCAGGGTGTCGCTCTGCGGGCAGGAGGTCAACGCGATACGGCGGGTTTGCGCCAGCGAGCTTGCGCGCGTTGGTCTCCAGAACGCTGTTCCTCGGCCATGTCTCCCTCGTGAAGTATGGCAGTGGCTGATTCTTGTCGGCGACGTCCTTGAGGGTCTCGGTGAGGAAGTGGTTGAAGCCGTCCTGGTCGGTGATTTCTTGCTGGATGTTGAGGATCACCAACTTGAGGTTCTGTAGCAGCCGACCCTCGTCCTTCTTTCCCCACTCCGCGAGGTAGAGGAAGTAGCTGGCGGTGTTGCCAGGGCGGGTTGCCGCACAGGTAGGTGTTGAGCTCCGGTCCTTGCTGTCGGAGGCTGCCACCACTAGGCCCTTCTGCGCTGGGATGAGGTCCGGCTGCTGAATCCATGGCCTGTATGGATTGAGGCAATGTGGGCACACGCACCGTCCATGTTGCTCCGAGATGGGCGCCGATGGTGAAATCTTCCTCAACCAGTGCTTCTTGTCCACCACCGCCTGGCAGCCGATCTTCCTGCAGATGTAGCGCTGCTGCATGGTGGCCGTGATCTTTGATGCCCACTCGGTGATGCGACTGTCGGCCCCACTTTCTCGAAGAAGGCGTGTCGGTCCCAGTCGAGGTCCAGGGCCGACTTGATGGTGTCCTCGTCCCACTGTCGGAACGCGGCAATAATCCTGGCGGTCTGTATCCGAGGAGCCTTGGATGAACTGGTCCACAAGGGCGAGCATCCTGGCGCGGAGCTGAGCTCTGACTTCGGCTTTGTTGTACTCCAGGTGTTCCGGTCACGATGATGTTCTCCAGCTTCTCGACGTCAGATGGGTTGTTGGTCCGTGGAATGACTGCGTGTCGCGCCCATCGGAGCATCCAGACCCAGCGCTTGGGGCAGTTGTCGTAGTCCGCGTCCAAGTTGGCCACTGAGGTCCGGTCCGTGCGCTTGTAGTCCGCGTGGGTGGGGCTGGCTGCTGTACCTGGTCTACTGTGAAGGGCTGGTGACAATAAGGTGTGTGACGCGAACCAATAGTAGTCTTCGTTGTCCCCTGACGCATTGGAAGCAGCATCGGTAGTAATGATTGCGCCAGTCTGCTGTCCCCTGAGGTGTAATATCCAGCAACCAATATGGCGGGAACCAAGCACCGCAGAACGTGCAGTAGGCAATTTTCGCGAGGATCGTCGTCCTCAGAACGTTGCAGATGACCGAGGTACACCTCCGCCCACTTCATGGTCTCGATGGCCGTCTCCTCGACGGTGTCCCCGACCGGATCCAGCACGTCGGTGACCGCTGCCCTGGTGAGCCTATCAATCCACTTCTGCGCGAGGTCATCTCCGAGTTGAGTCCTGGGAAGTTGCTCCTGAGGCCCCTAAGAGCCGCTTGCTCCAACGATGTCCTCTGTGCGATGTAGTCGAGAGCCTTCTCAGTGAGCCTCGTGTTGTGTGACTTCCAGACGGCCCTGGCACGCTCCGGGGCATAGGCATGGGTGTAGCCTGCCTGCTGTGAACTCGAGGATGGTGCAGCCATGATGATAGTAGGGGCTGGGGCTTCAAAGACCTGTTATTGAGGTCAAGCTACGGCGCATAACACGCCGGGCCAAGCTGGTCATTGTTATTCGCAGCAGGCCCACTCAAATCTACTCACGCACATAACATGCTGCTACTCGGAAATACCTACGAATAAGACATGTTGCACTGGCGTGGACTGACTTGTTGCCAAAGCATGCACTCACTGACGACGTCGCAGGACTTGTTTGTTCGATGCGCCTGGTGGATCCTGATGCTCTCCTGACTGCGCGCACGCCCTGCCTACCCTAGGTGCAAAGGAGATATGATGAAGGATGCTACGCGGCGTACGGCATCACCAAAACAGGATGATCCATATCATCTACTTGCATGTGTGACTGGTGACCCCTCGCCTAGGCGGCAAGCCACGTTGTCACTCTTCTACGCTGTTTTACTCGGGAACCACGGCGCCAATAGAGGCGCGCCGGCTGCCCAGTAGCGTAGACGTGGTTCTGCCAGTCGTTGGAGAAACGTTGCCAGGAGACCGGCAGCATGTAGCACGAGCAATCCAGGACTGCGTCACTGATGACGGTGATCCACCTGCACTGTCTACTGCAGGGTGTCCCTGTTGGAACCTGCGGATGTAGACTTGCGAAGGTCATGAAGTCCCGGAGGACGTTGTAGCAGTTCTCTGCATTGTCGTGACCTGCGGCGGCGATGGCTCCGGTCATGAGGGACCAGGCGTAGGACTGGGTCACCGTTCGATCCCTTGCTGGGGTCTGTATTCATCCGGCGCGTCCATGATGAGGCCGAAGATGGACATTCTCGATCCTACCAGGTGATAGTCCAGCGCTGATTCCATGGCCACCATCAGCGATGTGTTGATGAACCGGTGCATCTTCAGCAAATGCAAGGTACGGGTAATTGCCTGGTGGGAATTGGTGAATCTCACGTGGGGGGGATAGGAGGCAAGGCTGGCAGTTGTGGAGACGCGGGACCGCCGTCGACCGAGGTGGGAAAAGGCTAGACGAGGCTTGCCTACCGTCCTGACCTGCCGTTGTCGCTGTGGGTTGCGGTAGGAGATGCGGTGCCGCTAGTCGGGGTCTTGCCGGCGAAGGCGCCCTGGCTATGCTCGTGGCAGGGGTGTATATCTCGATGATGGGGTCGCCGATGTGGTCGCCCCGGTCGTTCCCTGGATCGTAGTCCTGCTGTGTTGCTGGCGGCGGTTGTTGCGGTAGTTGAGCCGCTGCTGCGATGGCTGTGGCGGCGGTGCCTTTCTGCCGGACGCGATGGTCTGGGCTACCACGTTGACCTGCGCTGGTGGGGCTGGCGTGGGCTCGTCGTCATCCGTTGGGATGGGTGGAGGTGCCTTCTTGGGCGCCGGTGTCGGCTCCACGTTAGACGGTGCGCCACACGCCTGTTGAATCAATCTCGAGGTCGGTGATGAAGCCCGGGGCGGCGACCGTGGTTGCTTGTTGTGTGGCGACGTCTGCCTCAAGGATGGTGGGGGGAATTTCGCTGGCACAAACGGAGGAGGAGCTGCTTTGGTTGTTGGTCCGGTGTGTCCATGGTCCGACCAAAGGACGGTGCCGATGTGGAGCTCGACGAAGTTGTCATCACCCGGTGTCCGGAAAGGGTCGGTGTAGGTGATGAGGCTCGAGTTGGTGCACTCGCCCTTGTTGGTGTGCCCGGACGTGATGAAGTGTATCCGCCGGTGCGGCGGGTACTTGGTGACCTGCCTCTCCCAGTGTTGCGCCCCGCTCCGCCTCGAGACAGGCGGGTATCCGCCACTGGTGTACCTCCAGCTTCGATGCGCTGGTAGTAGGCCTCTGCTGTTGGCCATTGGGTGCAGTTCATCCCGAAGACGAAGCTCCGAGCGTGATGTCCCCCGTACGTAGACATTGAACTGAGGAGCATGTTGGACCCGGACTGCCGAGTGACGACCTCAAAACGCTTCGCCGCTTGGATGTAGTTCAAGATGATCCGCGGCCGCTGATGTGAATGTTGTAAGTAGGATGCATAAACAGCTTCTGCGAAGGTGTTACCATGAACATTTTCACAATGTCCCCTGGTGCAATGCCCCCTAAAGACGTTCCTACATGGTGAATTAAGAGGAACCCAAGACAAATCAATGAAATCAGGATGGACACACTCACAATGAGGTCGCCGGCAACGTTGTCGAGAGCATACATCTGGGCACAAGCGACAGTCCACCTGGAAAACCGCGGGGATGCCGTCAGGGACGTGCTCGGGATTTCACTCGTAATGCTGAGGGGGAGGCACCACCATTTCACCTGCCGTGATGTCTGCCTGAAGAAGATGGCCCACTCACGCATTGTTGGTCCCGGCAGTTGGCGCCAGACTGGATACGGCTCGATGTCGGGGTTCCACTCGATGAACTGCTGGTTCGCCATCGTTGCTGGTGGAAGATGAGGACGAGGTAGAGGGTGTACCCAAGATGATGTCCTTGGCTTCACGGAGGAAGCCTGCCAGAAACTCGCCTCTGAGGCCAGACTTGATCGCAAGGAACAAGTCGTTGATGGCGAGGTCGCAAGCCTCACGATGAAAATCGCCGACCTTGCGGACAATTTGTTGGGTGGTCTTATTCTCTGACTCCAGTTGTTCCCAAAACCAATGTTGTCCTCTTTCGAGAAGGTGGTGTACTTGCTGTTGGTCTGATGTGCTAACGATGAGACCAGATGTCCCCAAAGGACAAATCACAAAGCACAATGGCAGCACCAACAATGAGGAAGGAACGGATGTTCCAATGCAAGAGCACCAGCTGGAACCAAAATGGCGACGGTTCAGGCACAAACATGGAATCCGCACGCATTTG